AAAAACTGAAAACTGATAATTACCAAGCTGTTTTCTCTTAACAACCCATGAATCACCGACTGAGGGGAAGGAAACACACCCCTACCTGCAAGGGTATGTAGGCATGGACGAGCTTCTCCACCCGGACGCCGCGGAGACAGTCCAGCAGGGTGTCCTTCTCCACACAGCCCGCCTCCTTGGCCACCTGCAGGGCGACCTCGCGGTGTCTGCCCCTCGAGTACTTGGGGCAGAGGGCGGATCCAGACTGCAGGATGGCCCGGGAGAAGAGTCCTGGGAGGTGAAGGAGGTGGGTCAGGTTTTGAAGGGAGGGAGGTCAGGTTTTGAAGAAGGTAGGGAGGTCAGGTTTTGAAGAAGGGAGGTTAGATTTTGAAGAAGGGAGGTCAGGTTTTGAAGAAGGGAGGTCAGATTTTGAAGGGAGGTCAGATTTTGGCTTTCCCATTTCAAACAAGGCATTCATAGTTTTTTATGGGGGGGAGGGGGATCTGGATTATCTTTTAATTCACTGATAATAGTCCCTAGTTAATCCCACAAGTAAATCATTAGGAATTAAAAGAAACAAAGAATCTCCTATACCAAAGCCAAATAAAATGGTCACTTTTTAACACCCTTTTAAACATCTAAGATCCACTTGTTAATAATGCAGATCCTTAATCCCTTAACCCGTAAACTGTGCAATAGGGTTCCGGTGGTCAACCCTAGTTCAAAAGTAATTTTTAGGTTATAATATGAAAGACGGCATGGAACGTATCAGGAAAACCAATAATAGTTCATCATTTACCTCAATTCAGGTGCAGTGACGTAGCCTGTGTCACAAATTTCAAAACTCCAAGGCGCAGTTGTGCTTCTCATCACACGATGCATGTCGCAGCTTACGGGATAACAAACAAACGCTAGAAATAACTCACAACGATACGGAATAACGGAATAACGTACCACGAGAATACGGCGTCAGGATCTGGTAGTGGACGGACTGCGCCCCGCTGCCCTGCCCGAAGAGCGTGACCTCGCCCGGGTCGCCGCCGAAGTCCCGGATGTTGTCCTGCACCCAACGGAGGGCCAGCGTCTGGTCCTTTAATCCTAGGTTTCCAGGTAGAGAAGAATCCTCCGTCGACAGGAATCCTTCGAGAGCAACGACAGAAATCACAAGTGAATGAGACTTGAGAAAAGTGGCTCTTGATACAGAAAGCAAAAATATTTAGCAATGAAACGATCCCAAGTGAATTAAGACATCTTGTGGGGGGAAAAAAAAATCCCAAGCCAATAATCTCTAATAATAACATCCTCTAATCAGAACGAAAAAATGGAGCGAAAATCCACAAACGCCAAGAACCAATCAGCAACGCGAATCGACTCGAATCCCCCTAAAAGACGGGAATCTGCCGCCAAAACGAGTCCGATTTCGAACGCCTCGCGCAGGTCCTCTTCCCTTCTCCTCGACCGACTTACCCAGGACGCCCAGGCGGTACTGGAGGACGACCAGCACGACCGGGTGGTTCAGGAGGGGCAGCGGCGGGAAGTCCTCCAGTCCCCCGAAGAGGTAGTCGTCCCCGTGGATGAACACCATGACGGGGTGGCCGCTCTCCGCCTGCCGGTCAGGGTGGTTGAGGATTGAAACAAATAAATATGCTAGATATTAATTATATAGCACTATGGCAAAGTACTGTAGCGAAAAGGGTAAAAATAAGTTAAAAGATTAGGATAAAATGTATGTTGTAGAACCTCAGGACCGAATAAAAGGGACACATTTGAAGAAAAAAAAATCTAAAAATGCCCAAGCTTCTAGAGTACAAAATAACAAAACGAAGAAAAAAATTTAAAAGTTTTCTCACCTTTGCTTCAGGAGTGAAGACACTGAGATAGAGACAGTCCTCGCCTCCCACGATCTCCTTCCCGACCACCTGCGGGCACTTCGGGGGGAAATCGACGGCGTCCCTCACGCCCTCCCACGCAGAAGCTGCCACGGGATCCTAAAGATATTTTTTTTTTTTTTTT